TACATGTCATTATATAATTAATTTATTTATAATCTTACATATTATTATAAACTCAATATATAGTCAATTGACGATGTTATATATATTTACTTATTTGATATTATATTATATTTATTTAATGTTATGTTATAATTATAAATTTATAATTATATATAATATTATATGAAATTAGTGTATATCAGTTTCAACTATTAAAAAAATTAAAGTCCTAATTTATATTTAAAAACCAAAATTTCAATTCAAAATTTAGAAATCCAATCAATTTTTAAATCTACATATCAATATTTAATAAAATAAATTTTTAAATTTTAAATTCAATTTTAATTAAATTAAATAATGTAGCTTAAGATTAGAACTCTATTTTTTTTTGAGAATTAATATTGATATACTTTTTTCTTATATTATATCTATAGCATGCCTATAAAATAAAATATAGTGACAGTTAATTAGATGAGGACTATATAGTACACTTTATGTTCCCAATTTAAAAACGCACTTTTTTTTTTTTTTCTCTTTTTGCTTTTTTGACAATATAAGTAGATACTTCCCATCTTATCCCTTGATTGAAGCAACAAAAGAGTAAAGGGAAGAAATTAGTAAAATCTTATCTTTAATCTTTATAATTATTATTAGCAAAAATTCTATGGATAAAATAAAAAGAAAGGTAAAGGATAAAATAATAAGGCCGGTGGTGGGTGTTAACAATTTAAGAAAAAGTTGACATACGCACGTCTTTTCCCCTCTTATTTTCGGACAAGGAGTTAATTTAAAGCAATCTCAGTCTCGACGACCCTTCTTTGTGGAATAAAACTTAAAGGGAAATGCTAACTGCACTTGGTATCAGCTAACACTCGGGCACTAATTAGATTGAGTGTAAATTTTCTTTTATTTATAAATTTAGAAAAAGAAGAAAAGAAAAAAATTGAAAAAAAAAAAAAAACAATTAGGAAAGAAGTGTTTGTACACTTGAGCCCATGGTGAGTGCACGTAACATTCTTCTTGAACTCAATGTCACTTCATAATTTAGTTCAATGTTATCCATTTCAATCTGCTACTAGTATGAAGATATCCTTAAATTTTGACTAAATGTCATCCAATATGGATTAGTTTCAAACTTGAACTTGAGATCCTTAATCAAAGTCTCATACTTAAAATGTTAGATTGTCTTCTACGTAAATTCACCATCCCAATTGCACCAAATAGGGAGATTCGTCCTTATTTTATTTTGACATGAATTTAAACCAAATTAAGCTAGATTTATACTTCAATCACTGAAATAATTAGCGTCTCAACTGACTAACTAATATATATATATATACTAACTAGGCTAGTGCTGATTGTCTCCTACGTACGTTATGTAATTTTGATGTGGTTAGGGCTTAGAATGCATGGTGCACAATAACATCAAAGGGTTAATTTTCTGCAAAACTTGGTTCCTGTGGAAATGTGTATGCAAAATGAGAAAGAAGTACATAAATTGTTCCTAATATTGATATAATTTTGTTGTAATTTAATTGCTTTTATGTTTCAACGATCAAAGAAAACGACCGACATACAAAAGAAAATGACATATAACGATAACAAATATTCTGGTCTAGATTTAAAGTACATTACATGCTAGAAAAGTCTCAAATGTGTGGTTAGAAATTATAGTAATTTACTATTCATTACTTTTTCTTTTTGCATAGATAAGGTGTTTTTTATTCAAATTTTGCTCATAACAAGGTACAATATTTTTTTTTCTTGTTTAATAATTTTAATATTTTATTTAATATGATGACATAATATTAAACAAATTAATATATATTTATTTATAATTTATCTCTTAATAAAAAAAAGACAATTATTATAAAATATCATATCATTAAATTTCTTTATTAATTGGAACATAAGCAATATTGCGACGTTTGTACAATATTAAACTCAATACCATGACATTCCCCATATGTATACTACAACTTTAGCCACTACGATGACGATTCATGTCATACTAATTTCTTGTGGAGCACGTAACTTTTGATGGAAAAGAAGAATGCAAGATTTTCTCTGCCGACCAAATTTGATTTTAAGGACTCATAGCCCCACCACCTTTCTGCTAATTATGTTGGTAGTAGTTATGACCTTGTTTCATTTGTCCCAAAAACGAATTCTAATATATGGGCCATGCATCATTCAAGGAACCTAGCACCTTCATTTAGTCCAAACTTGACAATGCTTTTCTACATATCTTGAAACTTTCTGCATTTGACTCAACCACGTGGCTTCTTCCTCCTCCTTTATTTTATTTTTATAATTTTTGGTCCCCACCCTCGAACTTAATTTGACCTATTGAAGTAGGCAAAGTTTAGAAGACATCTTTTTTCTCAACATGTTGATGAGGTCCTGTCTCACTCACATGTCAATGCACATTAAAGGTAAAGGATGAGATAATAATCTTAACAAGGCTCAGTTCATACTACACTTTTCACTCTTTTCCTGTGAGCAAAAAGAAAAGCGATCTTGTCCACAATTTTTTCTGTGTATGTGTGGGACACAGATGTTTTTAAATCTAACCACAAATTAGCTTGATATTGTCGGCAACTTAATTGTTACAGAATTCATCAAACTATCAACAGTATTGAGTAGGTCCACATTTTGTCTCCACTGAAGTGTACGTCGACGTCGGTCCTGCAACTGATTTTAACTGTTTCAACTTGGCCCACAGTTTTTTTGGCCGGCGCACGCAGGTAATTGATTTCAATCAAATTTTCGATGTTTTCACACATCTTTTATCTTTGGAATGTACATTGCTTAGATAAACCTTCTTAATTATAATCTTTTGGACTCAATACTTGAGTTTAATGTTTAACAATAGAGGAAAAGTTTATTTCAATTTGAATTAGCAAAGAAAATGTCAATCTAAACAATAGTAACCTTTAAATGTAATAATATGGTGATAAAGTTTTCTGTACTAATTACAAGTTTAAGATTTAATTTATAATTTTTATGTGTTAAAAAAAATATCCTCAAATGTAAACACATATAAGGTCACATTTAAAGATATAATTATCTAGATTAACATTTTTTATCCGATCCATTAAATTAAAATCTTGCATCTTCATATAATTTATAATAAGAAAACCAACTTAAAAATCAAATTTAAAAGCACGTATATAGGTTTTTTTTTAATGAGAAACATAAAATCAAATTTGCACAATGAAACGTAGGGTTTTGAAGGGAAAACCCTTGATGGGGAAAGGCAACGGAAGAGGGAGGAGCACATTTTCCAAGGGAGGTAGTGATGGTCCAATAAACGGCAAGAGGCGTTGTTTGTCATCCTCAAACGTCATCCCCTTACCATGCCTACGTTGATTCTCTCTCTGCCGCTCCTTAAAAGTCAATGAAATATATCTCTGACGCACCCTTTCCCTTTCTTTATTAATGCAGCGGTTGCAGTTTTTCTTCGGGGTGCGGAAGCGGAGGAGACCATAATGGATAACGTTAACCAATTTCTTCATGCTGCCTCTCATCACCATTCTCCTCCATGCTTCTCTCGTTTCCCCCTCTCAAAATGTTGACTTGCATTCACATTACGCAACCAACCTTGCTAACTAGCTCAGTGTCTCCTAACCAACCAAAGCCAATCATTGTATTACAAATTACAGACCTATATATATATATATATCGTAGTTGTTAACTTGTTAATATTAAAAATTTCTATTCAAAAAGATTTGTTTGTTTATATTTTTTTATTAATTATCAGATATCATTTATTAATATGAGTAAGTATTAAGTAATAATTTTAAAAAAAATAAAAATAATAGATCTTATTGACCATCGGATATCATTTAACAGTGACTAAGTAATATTAGCAAAAGCAAAAGGAGAAGAGTTCTTTTCCCTTTTTCCTCTTTCCTTTATTGAAAGCAAGATCTTGAAACCTACATCATCACAGATTCCACAGTTATAGTTTCTCTTTAACAATGAATCATATGATACATTTTCAATAAAGAAAATGATACATGATCCATATTGCAAAACACATCTCGTGCACCAGCGGATCTATAGCTCTAGACCCCATAATAAAGTCTCAAGAACTAGAAGACACAGCAGACTTCAATTTTCTCTTCTAAACATGGCAATATGAATTTAATGCCACTTCAACACGTGTAGTAAATTGTGACTTTTCCCTGCAAAACAACTTCAAAATGGATAAGCTTCTCATTTTTTTCCCCCTCGATTCAATATAAATCCTCATGCATTCACCACCTCAAAACGCATCCACACAATTCAGAATAGTTAAGCTTGCTTTTCTTGAAGAGAAAATATTTGAGTGTTTTTGGATTATGGAGAGTTCTGAAAGTAAATCTGTAAAAGCGGGGAAGGTTTCGGGGTTTGAGAATCAGCAGCCGGGGGCGGCGTCGCTACCGCGGACGAGCCCGCTGAGGAAGATCATCGTAGTGGCAGCCATCGCGGCAGGAATTCAGTTTGGGTGGGCTCTGCAGCTATCGCTTTTAACCCCGTACGTGCAACTGTTGGGTATTCCTCATAAATGGGCTTCTTTAATATGGCTCTGTGGTCCAGTTTCCGGTATGGTGGTCCAGCCCATCGTTGGGTACAACAGTGACCGGTGCACTTCCCGGTTTGGCCGCCGTCGCCCCTTCATTGCCGCCGGTGCAGCACTGGTTGCCACTGCGGTGGTCCTTATCGGTTTCGCAGCAGATATCGGCCACCTCTTCGGTGACTCCCTGGACAGGGAAATGAAGCCACGTGCGATAATCGTGTTTATCATCGGATTCTGGATCCTCGACGTCGCTAACAACATGTTACAGGGGCCGTGCAGAGCTCTACTCGCGGACCTCTCGGGGAATAACCAGAAAAAAGTGCGCACCGCCAATGCTCTCTTCTCCTTCTTCATGGCTGTCGGAAACGTTCTCGGCTTCGCGGCCGGCTCCTACAGTAAACTCCACAAAATATTCCCATTCACAACCACCAAAGCCTGTGATATCTACTGCGCAAATCTGAAGAGCTGTTTTTTCTTCTCCATTCTGCTCTTGATTTTCCTGACTACAATAGCCCTCACGTACGTACACGAGCAGCCATGGTCGCCAGAAAAGGTAAATGCCGGCAATGAGGAGGAGGAGGCAGGGGAACCGACGCCACCAGTGCCATTTTTTGGGGAGATAGTCACGGCTCTGAAGGAGTTGAGAAAACCCATGTGGGTTCTACTACTGGTGACGTGTCTCAACTGGATTGCATGGTTTCCTTTCTTGCTGTTCGATACGGATTGGATGGGGAGAGAGGTATACGGCGGGCAGTCGCAAGGCGATAATCCGGGGTTGAAGAAGGCCTACAACAACGGCGTCCGCGCGGGTGCATTGGGGTTGATGCTGAACTCGGTGGTTCTGGGGTTCACCTCCTTGAGCGTAGTGGTTTTAGCTCGTAGGGTTGGTGGTGTCAAGCGCCTTTGGGGTATCGTCAACTTCTTGCTTGCAATTTGTTTGGCCATGACCGTTTTGGTCACCAAATTGGCAGAGTCCCACCGCCGGTTCGCCACCGTCAACGGCGCTGAAGTTCTCTTGCCGCCTTCTGGGGGAATCAAGGCCGGTACATTGTCTCTGTTCGCTGTTCTGGGCATACCTTTAGCCGTAAGTTATTTCTTTGTCTTCTTTTTTCTTTTAACCTCTTGCTACATTGCGTCTCACTAATCTGAAATCCAACGCGTTGGCCACCATTAGAGAAAACTCGAGATCTTGCCTAAGGGAACCGAATTTATTCCACTCAAACCAATATGTCATTGGTGTTGTTTCTTTGTCTTGTTTAGGCAGATTCCTAGTGCTTATCTTAGAGTAGATAGAACTGATGGCCTTAATAAGATGCCATTAAAGGACGTTACCTCAACAATTTGATAGCTTTCATGAAATGCATCACAAATTTAGGAAAATGACAAGGGAGATCTGTCAACCCCATTAATGCATTTACATAAATTCATTGGATCATTTATTGATATTGAGTGTGGAGACAATGTGAGTTTGTTTTAATTCCTCTGTGAATAATTAAATTTTGAACCTTTGTTTGGCAGTATGTTTTAAACAGAGACAGAGACCTGGTGGTAATAGACAAAGATAGGCGTAGCCATTTCTGTCTGCTATGAAAATTGAAAAACTTACAGTTTTGGAGATCATTAGGGAACTTACATTTTGAATATTGTTAATGTTTATTTGTTTGCAGATAACATACAGCATTCCATTTGCATTGGCATCCATATTTTCCAGTACTTCTGGTGCAGGTCAAGGTAAAAATGCCGAATTCTCAACCATGTTTAGCTGTTTCTCTATCTTTTGTATTATCAAACTGTTCTTCCTACTGATCATCTTTTGAAACAGGGCTTTCCTTGGGAGTATTGAATCTTGCAATAGTGATTCCACAGGTATTACTGTTTACTCATGCTGGTACATCAATTTTCTTTAAGTTGAATACCAGATCATAAATGTGGCAATGCAATTGAGGTTGTTGGTTTCCTTCCTAAATAAAGCCATTTAGGATTTGTTTGAAACTCCGTTGATTAAGTTTGGCAAATGTTTGGGAGTTGATCCTTAGTTCCCTCTCTAGAACCCCATTTTGATTCAACTTTCAAGCATGGTTTCGTGTTGAAACTAATCCCACCAACCCAAAATTGATGGATTGAACTATTTGACACTTCAACTTCACTTCATAAGTTCTTAGCTACCGCATACAAAGAAATTCCCAGATATATCAGAAGTTTGACAAGAAATGGTGTTAATTCTGTTTTTTATGATGGTTGTGCAGATGATCGTGTCTCTAGGGGCAGGACCCTTTGATGCAATATTTGGAGGTGGGAACTTGCCGGCATTTGTCCTTGGAGCTGTTGCAGCAGCTGCAAGTGGAGTATTTGCCCTCACCATGCTGCCGTCCCCTCCACCAGATGTCCCTGCAGCCAAGGCTGCAGCTGCTGGGTTTCATTAACCATAGAGTAGGGTGTCCGAACCATTTTCCTTGTATTCTCCGGTCTTTTAGGCAGAGTATGATGGTGGTGTGCTATAGAATTAGCCATGCTGGTTGAAAAAGATTAGCCAGCATATCCATAAGCTGTAAATGTGGTTAAGAATGGTAAAATCATGTTTAACTAGATGTTTGTAGCTAGTTATGCAAATATTGTGCGAGTGGGATGTGCAAGTGGGAGAGTGGTGTTTCTGGACTTCTTGAGCTAACAAAAAAAAAAAAAAAAAAACTTGTGCTCCTGTTAATTACTAAGGTTTCATTCGATAAACTTTGTTGGTGCTTTAATTTTTAATTTTTATATCTTTTTATTATTTTAAAAAATATATAATATTAATTAAAATAAATATTAAATATATTAAATATATTTTATATATTTTTAAAATATTAAAGAATTACAAATTTTACAATTACAATTGCAGGCTAATACTCTCCAAGTCCAACTAAAATTGATGTAGTTGTTAAGATTCAAACATTTTGATTCTTGTTCTTATTTTTGAATTCAACTGCTAGCAATTTCTCATAAATAGGGTATCATCATAAGTATCTATCGAAGTTGGGGGCATGCCTTGACCTTAGACTAGGGTAACATCTCCTTGTCCTAAACACATTTTTTTCTTTTTGTTTTTCTAACAAAAGAATTACACTAATTTTGAAGGTATTAAATAATGTCAATTTTTCTTAGCTAAAGAACATGAATTCAGCTTTCCAAGGCATCAATTGGTTGAAGACGGATAAATGATTGTATTATTTTGGTATTGAAAATAAGTTCACATCTTTTTCAAATCTCTTCCACGCAACATAAAATTTAAATATAAGTTAACTTTTATATTGTAAACTTATAATTGCTTTTGTTGATAAAAGTTTTTGAAGCTAAACCTTAAAATAAACACATCCTCATTTAATGTGAGGAAGCTCAACTTTAAAATCAATAGAACATTATTAATTTTTTTTCTTTGCTCTTTCTTTATTTTTCCATATTTCCACATTTTCTTTTGTTTTTTTTTTAAAAGATGAGAAATCTATTCACACAAAAATTTTATATATTATATTTATATAAAATTTTAATTATTTATTTCTCTATTTTTAATGGTTAAAATTTAAAATAACTTTTTAAATAAAGAAGAAAATTATTTTTAATAAATATAAATAAATCTTAATTATTTAAAGTGAAAAAGTAAATAATTAAAATTTTATATAAATATAATATATAAAACTTAAGGAAAAGTGTATATTAATCCCAATTCATAAAATAAATTAGAATTTTAACCTTAAACTACTTTATTTTAATTAATTAAAATTCAATTCAAAATTTTAAAATCTATCATCATTTTAGATTTGAAAATGATTATATTTAAATATATAATTGGTTTCCAAATATAAAAATCAATATTTGATAAAGTAAATTTTTGAATTTTAAATAAAATTTTAATTTTCAAATATAAATTAAAATTCTAATTTTTTTTAAAAGTAAAGACTATGATACATTAATTTTTAAAATTTATAGGTAAATAGGTATCTTTTAAAAAATAAAGTACGTGAACAAATGGTTGCAACAGCTTAAAAACACGTTTCATCACATGTGTGATAAGATGACTGGTGTGGATAAGAGAGTCATTTATGTCCTAACGACTACTTCCCTTCTGGATAGGTTCGAAATAAAAATTCTAGCATTTCCTTCCTCCACCACAGACGAATATATTGGTCCTTTATTCATTCACCGAAAGAATTGTACAACATGAGATTGACCACTTTTTTTTTTTTTTTTTTTTTTTTTTTCTCTTTTTTATTTTGTTTTGTTTTAAAGATTCCTGATTTTCACGTTCTTCACAACCAAAAATCTAAAATCTTGACTAACTCTGTAATCCGGATGTTCAAGAGCACTGATCAAATTATAGAATCCACCTAATATGATATGTACGATCTTAATAATAAAGTTCTATAAATTCTAGTTACATTTAAAAAAAGTTAAATCTTTAATTTAGTTCTTTAATTATTGTATAAACTCTAATTTAGTTCTTGAATTAAAAAATTTTTAATTTAATCCTTAGAGTTTTTCAATTTGATCTTAAATTGGTCATTCTATTAAAAAATAGTTAATATATCTCTTACTTAATAGCAAAAACTGTTACTTAATGACCACGTGTTACATTAATAATAAAACATGTAACCAACTTGGGATCAAATTTAGAAATTTTAGGGACCAATCAAGAATTTTTTTAATTTAAAGACCAAATTAAAGTTCATACAATAATTGAGAAACCAAATTAAAAGTTTAATCTTTAAAAAAAGAGTTCCTATTTTGTAATTTCCTTAAAAAAATTATTTTTCCAACCATAAAAACTCCCTCTTTTTTTTTTTTCTCATTTGTTTTGACTGACAGCATAGAATAATCTAAGACCAAAGGTACAGACATAATTAATACTCCTTTTATTAATTAATTTATATAAAAAATATAAAATTAGTATTAATTTTAATAATATTATTATATATATAATTTTAATTAAACAGTTAATAAATTAAAAATTAATTTTTATTTTTTTAATATAAATGATATAACTATTAAAAAGTATATTAATTATACTGTTAATTTCCTCTAAACTATTTAAATAAAACTATGGTTAAACCAAGAAGAAGACGATAATCGCATGCGCATTAATGAAATATACAGTCGAATGTGTCTTCTATTTCTGTATTAGGTACCAGTCCCATAATTATCTTTCGTTAAGTCGTAACGTGAGAAAGGGTAGGGTATACTCCCCAAACAACGGTAGATTGAAAATAAAATAAAATAAAATTAGTTGGGTCATGGAAAGCATAGATTCTTGATTATATTTTGCAGCCAAAACCAAGTTGCTCTTTAATTTATCTATAAGCGTTAAAGCTGAAGAGATTCTTGATCATCCTCGACACATCAGAAAATGGTGTACTTGATCCATATACATTAAAGGAAAAATGAAAAAAAAAAAAATGCAAAATGCTTTAGAACCGGCAGGAAGAAGAGGATGCTCAAATAATAATTGAGGCCAAAGAAAAGGTTATATGCCAAATTTATTCCCTCAACTTTAGAGTTTTGTATAATTTTTGTCTCTTAATTTTTTAAGTTCTTTTTTAATTTCTCATGTATAAAAAAATACATTTTTTAATTATCTCACTTGTTAATTCATTAGATGTCAGTTAAAACCCTTTTTTAGTTCCCGAACTATTGTACAAACCCTCAATTTAGTCCTTAAACTAAAAAAATCCCTGATTTGGTTCCTACTGGTTACCCATTTTACTCCAACTTGATCCTTCCATTAAAAATATAGTGACGTGTCCTGTTAATTAACTGAGTATGATGACATGTCAACTGTACACATGGACATGTCATAAAACACGTCAGATTCTGGGCAAAAAAAAAAAAAATTGTGGGGCCCACCTTCAACCCCCCAAACTCACTATCTTCTCCCTCTTCTTCCCCTTTTAACCCTAGAAGAATTGTATCAGTAGTCTCCGCTGGGTTCCTTCAAGAACCCAACCGTTGGGTTTCGTTGGAACCCAAGAGCTGGATTCTTTTGAGAACCCCTAGGTTCTTTCTCGAACCCAGGTGTTGGGTTCTCGAAGGAACCCAGGCGTTAGGTTCTCGAAAGAACCCAGGCGCTGGGTTCCTTCGAGAACCCAAGCGGTTGGGTTCCTTCGAGAACCCAAGCGTTGGGTTCGTTGGAACCCAAGCCTTGGGAAGAAACCAGGCGCTGGGTTCTCGAAAGAACCCAGGTGCTGGGTTTTTTCTCGAACCCAGGTGCTTGGGTTCCTTCGAGAACCCAAGCGTTGGGTTTCTTCGAGAACCTAGGTGCCTGGGTTCCTTAAAGAACCCAAGAGCTGGGTTCGTTCAAATCCAGGGGCAAATTTTTTTTTTTTTTTTTTGTGAATTTGGTTGTTTGATTAAGATGAAGAATTGATTGATGAAGAAAGCAAGGCAAGGAAGAGAAAGGAAAAAGAAAGGGCACCTGTTGGGTTCGATATTGAATTGATTGTTTAATTGTTTGATTGAATTGATTGTCTGAATGAAGGAAGATTCGAGAAAAAAGATGCTGGAGGAGGAAGATGATGCAAAATTGTAATTTGGTGGGCCCCCACTTTTGTTTTTGTGTTGGGTATGACCATGTCATCATTTATCCAGTTGTACAACTGACGTGTCTTAAATTTTTGATATGTCTGTGAGTTAACGGACGATTTTTAATAGAAGGACCAAGTTGGGGTAAAATAGGTAAATAGTAGGGACCAAATCAGGGATTTTTTTAGTTTAAAGACTAAATCGGGGCCCGTACAATAGTTCGGGGATCAAAAAGGGGTTTTAACCTTAGATGTGTTTAAATATGCATAATTTTAGTCCTTCAATTTATAATATATGAATTTTTTTAATCCATTAACTTGAAAGTTTAATAATTAAAAATGTGTATATATGTATGAATTTAACGGACTAATTAGCAAAAGAACTAAATGAAATACATTTTTCATAATTAAGAGATTAAAAAAACATATAAAAAAGGTTAAAGGATGAAACTATGTAAAACTCTAAAATTGAGTGATCAAAATTGATATTTAACTTAATAAGAATAGTAAGGATATGCTTGAATGATTCTAATTTGTGCACTACTGAGAATAATCGTTTGCAAACAAAGAAAATTCTGCATTTCAAATCGAGTAACCATATATTGCACTCTACCATTCCAAATGAATTAGGTTCCTTGTGGGAAAAAAATAACAAAAACAAATAGTCATTTGAATATATTTTTCTTATACGCTTTTATTTAAAGTTTAAAAAGTATAATCAATTCGTCATGACTTGACACAATCCTAATCCTATTTTCTACATACTTTAAAATAAAAATTTAATTATATCTTCAATAAATTAAATTTGTATTCAAATCTTAAAGGCTAAAGAAGACTATATAAATAAACCAGTCCGATCACTTTAATAAACGAAGAAAATGATATACACGTGTATGCTAAACAATCAAATTAGGAAGACTTACCAGTAGAAGGAAACTGTGCTTTTGCTTACCATATACGGCTAGTTGGTGTCATAGACCGTTCAAACTAAAATTAGTGAATTTCTAAAGAATTATTAGATCAAAGAAAAACGCGAGTCTTACAAAAATGACATAGGACTTTCTTCGTGAAAAAATAAACCTCACTATTTAAAAGAACAATATATCAAATAAACTATCAATGACTTATTGGTCTGAATAGAAAGAATTCGATTCTCCTTAAACAAGATCTTGAGTTCGAGTCTTATAAATAGAGAAACAGACTCTAAAAGAGTTTCTCCCTAATGGTGTTTA